CCTCTGGGATACACAGACACAGCAAATGTGCATTTTCTAGCACATAGATATCAACCCCTGAGCACCCAAATGCTCTCAAAAAGTCTAAACCAGATGATTTTGACTCCCTCCTGGCTCTTCCCACCAGTCCACTCTCGGCACAAGCCTCACTTGAGAAAATGTTTCCCTGACTGAAATTCAAATGGTTTCAATTTTCCTCTTTACAGTGGAACACAACTGCTGACATTTTTCAACTTTTTCCCCTCTCAACTCTCTTGGGAAACTGCAAAACAATCACAATTGCTTCAAGTGAAGGTGAAGTCCTCCAGGAGCACATGGCTTTGGATGTGCTGTGGTTCTCCAAAGGGAAAGCAGAGCACCACGTTGCTTTTGGAAAACCTGAGCAGAGCTGGATGAAGCTTAGCAGGAGCCTGAAGTGGCACCTAAAGGCCTCTCACTGCTTCTGCTGCATCAGTCTGACTCCAGGGCTGTTTCAGAACACATTTCCTGCAGTACCAATGCCATTAGTGATAAGTGATTCCAGCATAAAGTGGAGAAGATTCAGCCCCTGAGCTTTGATATTGAGCTGCACAAAGGGAGCCAAACAGGCTGAGAGAGGCAGAGATTCCTACCAGGACCCAAGGAGACACGGGATGTGGTACAGACTCAAGGCAAAGCATGAGAGCAGGTATGAACTGTACAGCCCTCCACATTCCTATCAGTACAGAGCTTTCAAGGGAAGGAAGATCCTTTGGGATAGATACCATCCATGCATGGCCAAAATCATGGGAGAATTCCTGGCACAACAAGATTTCCACCATCCTGCAGAACAAAGGTGCTGAGACATTTTCTTCTGGGTGTGCTGCAGCAGATCACTTGCTTTGCTGTACACTATGGGAATAACACCACTCCCCTCTTCCAGCACGGCGTTAAAGCTCCACATCCCAGCACTTACCTTGTCCTTATTGGTGAGAGCCAGCTCCATTTCAGAGACCTCATGAGCGACGAAGTTCTGAAATACCACCTCTGATGGGGAAACCCGAAACAGGTTCTGTTTCTGGGGAACTGGCGGCAGCTGGAGAGGCAAGAGAGAACAGGGGGAGGTTCAGCTGTTGGGAGGTTCATGAAGGAGAATCTCACTCTGATCCCCAGTGAAGTGCAGACTCTGGGTGAGCACGTCTGCCACTCCAGAGACAGCAGCAGCTCTCCTGTGTGACTGCACAGGAGACACAGTCTGCCAAAGGGACTGGCTGCAGCACACTGTCCCGTACTTGTGCCCTTCTCGGAGCTGTTCCCAAGCCCTCTCCCCAGGGCAATCCTTCACCAGTTTGTAACTGTCTCTTGCTGCCAATTTCCTGCTCAACACCCACCTCGGGCACCTACCCGTTTGGACTGTGCTTTGTGCTGAGCCAGTACAGACTTTAAACACACCTCTAAGTAGGCACCAGTCCATTCCCCTCTGCCCAGGGCGAGTCCCCTGTACATCTGGCAGCCTGCAAAATCTAACACCCCTCAGGCTCCCAACACATTGTTCCAGCCCAAAGCATTAGTGCAATTAGTTTTGTTAAATCTGAAGTAATTACTGCAGGTCCTTGGCCTTCAAAGGCCAACGCTGCCACTGTGGAATGAATCCTATGACCCCAAGCATTTGATGGTGACCACAGCAAAGCAAGAGGGGGCTGTTTCAGCAAGAGAATGGCAAATGGCAATCTTGTGCCTTTGTGTCCCAGCCTTCCCCCACTGTTTTAGCAATGGCAGCTCCACTCCAGCAAACCCCAGCAGTTTCAGCAGAGGTCATTTGTGTTGGCTTGGTGCAGATCAGGACTCCAAGTCCATCACTACCAGCAGTTTGCAATGACAACAGCACCTGGACACTGAGGTATTTTGCTGGAGGCAAGCCTGTCACAAGCACACACCCTCTTCAAACTTTGCATCAAACAAAAAGGAAAAGAGCAGGAAAAGGCTACCTTTTGATCAGCATCGAACTCAAAGTCTAGAATTGGGCCAATTCTGGGCAGACCAGTCCCCCCAGTTCTGGCCTCCTTCTTGATGTTCAGAAACTTCTCCTTCTGGAACTTAGAGGGAAGGAGCTGAAAGGCAAAAAAAAAAAAAAGAAAAAAACCACCAACAATAACCAGCAAGAGCCTCAGAGATGTGCTTCTTCAGAAAGGCTTTTCTTGAACAAGTGGCACTGGTGACTAATTTGTGACCACAGACACTAGGACAGTGCTGGAAGCCCTGGAAGCTACCTGATGAAATCCTTAGCATCAATAAATTAATAATACAGAGCACAATACACGTACTCCAACCACATGGCTCTGTCCCATTAGCCCTGTCTCTGTGATTTGATGTGACATGTTTGGGGATTTCTGCTCTTTGGGCATTTGTTTCCTCTTTAGTTCCATTGGATTGCGGCAGTGACCTTTCCAGAGAGTGGGGAGGAGTTCTCAGAACTCCCCTGACTCCATCCCTGCACAACACTCAAAACTCACAGCGAGGAGATAGCGCTGCTGGGTGAGTCCAAGAGACACAAGAAAGCAAAGTGGTACCAAGAGTGAGGTGCACAGGAATGAGTCCAGGTTCTAGTTCCCTCTGTTAATTAGCATTTGCTTGCTCTGTCTGGGCTCACACAGCCCTCCACAGAAGAAAACAGAGGGATCCCCTTGACAGAGCCTCAGCAGCAGGGCATCTTCAGTCAAGTGAGCTCCAGACAGCCAAGGGACCTTTGTGGCCCTGACTCCAGTGCTGTCTGCAGGGCTGGATCTGTGCCCCACGCAGGAGATGAGAGAAGAGCTGCTCTGGAACCTCTTCTGGCTGGGACCAGCCGTGTCTCTCAAGGCTTTGGGCAGAGTTGGAGCTTCCCCCTGCCCACATGCCCAGGTGCCCAAGGGCACGTTGGCCAGAGCAGCACAGGTGAGTGTCCAGCCTGGCAGAAGGAATTGCTGTGACAAAGGGCAGGGAGAGAAGCACATGCTCAGGGCTCCAGCTGGACATTGGTTTCACTTGGCCCCGCTGGCACAGCCAGGGAAGACACTGGAGTGTCCCTGGAGCAACACACGCTGTTCCCAAGTGCACCAGGACAGCCCCCAGCAACAGGAGCACGGCACAGAGAGCTGGGGAGGGCTCTGCAGCCTCACAGTGCTGCTGGACAACAGGAGGGGCAGGGAGAGGAGGGACACCAGCGGCGTTTCCAGCCTTAACACAGCCCCAGAGGCTACTTACATTAGCAGGCTTCAGTTTTCCTCTGAGAAAAAGAGGAGGCGCCGGTGTGTCTTTTCGGCGTCCAGAAGCCATTTTGAAGAGACGATGTCACAGATGTACAACAATGCCTCAACAAAACTGGAAGGAGCAAGAACGGAACTCTGAAAATCCACAACCCAATTCAGGGCAGACTCAAAAGATATACTGGTGCTGAAGATTTTTTATCATTTGACAGTAGCTAGGTGCTTGTTTGGCATAAGTAGCTAGTATTGTTAAGCCTCTAGTTGGATTTTATTTGAACTTTATGGCTATGTTGTGCAGTTCAAAGACAGATCATACTAAAACCTTGAGCTAAAAATCTGAACATTAATAATAGCTAGAATAGACAAAGCTGTAGCTTAAATATTACTTAGAAATAGCTAGAGTGGACCTTCTCTTCTTTGGGTAAACAACCCCTGCTTTCTCAGCTGCCGCTCACAGAACTTCTGAGAGACTGGAATGTTATAGTGTATGGCTTAAATCTTGTTATAAAGGACGCTTTGCCCATTGTGACAAAACTGTATAAAGAAGCTGCGACCGCCAAAGCCCACCCTTCCCTGAAAATGTCTCCTGCCTGGAACTCTGGAGTGTGAGTTAAGCTGCCTAAGGGAACTTGAGACAGGATAAAGGTGGCACTATTGTCCTATGATCTCAAGTCTGGGGAGAAGTAAGCAAAGCTGAAGGAGAAAAATGTATCCACACCAAAGCCAAAGGCAGCAGCTGTCCTGAGAATCAGCTCTGTGTGGCTTCAGGCTGGGGAAGTCGCAGGCACAGACTCATCTGCTGAGGCCAGGTTTGCACACAAACCTCCCCTCAACAGAGGGGCAAGGAGGAAATTTTGGCTGTGTGGCATAGGCTCTGGTAAGAGGCAGTGCACACCCATCCTCCCTCCCACAAAGCGGCTCAGCTCTAAAACCTCCCCCCACAAGAAGGCCACATGCAGGGGACATTGCCATGAGGAGCAGCTGAGGGGGTGTCACAACCCATCCAAGGCCTCCAGCGCGCCCCCAGAGCCCTGCCTGAGGCCTT